ATCTTTAGGAATATAACCTTCGATATAAGGGAGATATAAGAAGGTGTCCTTAACCTTCTTATCATAGCGAAAACTATTTATTTCCTGCTTACATCCTTATCATTCCCTCTGTGCTTGTTTCAACCTTCAACCTATTGTGATCTTAATATATAGTCTTTAAGTCAGTTTTCTATTTCAATTTTTACTTCCATTAAATTTCCTCAAAACTACGACATATACGAACGAGTTGGCTCAACAACAACATATCAGCTCAAGCATACACTTAAGACATTTTGTAACGCATTTCCATGGATATTACAGTAGGGACAATAGACTATGTACGCCAAGACTTTTCCACCGCTTCCCAACCCGCTGCTATTGTCATAGATAAGGGCCTTTTCTGGGCTGAAATATTTATGCTAAGCTTCAGTTTAAAATTGAGTATAGATCGTTATCTCATAACAGAAATTCTAGCTAAATTTTAATTCCTCTTAGTTGGGATTTCGGAAAAGATCCCAGATCATATTAATCTGTCCAAAAAAAATCTTTTTGAAAAACGTTTTAATATGGCACGTGTGCCTCCGCGAATTCAGTAGTGATTTTCGCGCATTAGAAGGCCGAGCAATGTTATGGCCGTTAGGCTGTATTCCGAAGAAACAACAGACTTAAATCAAATACAAGAGCGAATGAAAATGAGAAATGCTGATCGAAAAGATCCTATAAGATCTATAAGAAGTAAACGAAGGTATTATTTCACATAGAATATTAAAAAATATCATCTTGCCTTTTAAAAAAACTAAGCAATGGACCTGTCGTTGATCATTCAACAATTCTACTTACGTGACTAGGTCCGAAATAAATTCTCTAGTGAGCAAATTTTCCTTTATTGTTTATGCATCAACAATATAAATTGAGCGGAATTGCAATAAATAGCATAAGAAGAAGAACAAGAACAAGAAATCAATAAAAATACAACCCTGAAAGTCTTTATTTTAACTAAATGCCGTTCTGCTTCTAATAGCTTTACTTTAATTTTGTTCTATTAAATATTTAAATCTCAACCTAAACGATGAATGGACACTGATAAACGGAGTTGCAAGCCAATACCCAAAGAAGTAATACCTACAGAATATATTATATATAAACAAGTAACCAGGCTGTAGTTTGTCGCGGCTTAATACTAAATACCATACGCCGTTATAGGGTAAGTGTTTAAAGAAGTCATACGATCTGGATCTGGCGTTCGTCCTTGGGCAGTGCATCATATTTCATCACTCTATATCTCAAAGATTGCAAGCTGTAGGTTGACCAGAAGAAAAGAAGATCGGCCGATCGACAAAAGCAAACAAGAACGATCGATATAACACAACGTGGATCTATCTGAACTCTTTCTGAGTGTTACGCGCGTCCGTACGCTAGACCTCTACTACAGTTGATGTGGGGCATAATAATAAATAAAAGTCAGTTAGTCTTTTATTAGTACGTAGAACAATTGCATGTAGCGATGATTGAGAGAGTTTCCGTCGGGAATATCTTCACATATGTTTCATTCTAGGCATTTTCTTAACCAATAATTACATCTCTGGCTTTCACTTTGGTGACTTCGTCCTACAAGGCCACAGACTAAATTTGGCATAGAAAAGAATTAAATCGCACAAGTTAATCAGTCTGTACAAGTGAGAAAGAAATTGAGATATCATTCGAACATTATTTTCATTAATTAGGGAATTAGAGTCT